TTCGTACCCGTTTTTACCCCAAATGTGTCTTGAGTCATCACTCGCGAAACGATTGTATGTCGACCATCACGCCCGACGACGCGCGCCGGGGCGATCGATCGCGCGACGGGGTGGAGGACACGAGGGGGTGTGTCACGAGTCACGACTCGTGCGGCGTACCACCGCGCGCGCGCGCCCGCGCGATGACCATCGACAGCTCGATCGCGCGTCGACGGTGAAAACGACGACGACCGCGACCGCGACCGCGACGGCAGAGGGCGATCGGTCGTCGACGCCACCGCGCGCGCGGGCGCACGCGTCGACGCGCGCGGGGGTGCGTAGGGACGACGCCGTGGCGCGTGTCGCGGACGTGGGTGCGTAATTTTTGAACGATGCGAATGGCGATGCGCGGACGTCTCGGGTCGAGCCTCGCGCGGGACGGTGGCGCCGCGCGGGCGCGGGGGGGACGACGGGCGCGGGCGTGGACGCGGACGCGGACGCGGACGCGGGCGAGCGATGGCGTGGGCGCGGATGTCGAGATGGGCGACGAGGGATCGGCGCGGGACGATGGCTCGCGCGCGCGAAGGACGGGACGCGACGCGAGTGAGGGCGTCGAGGACACGGTGCGGACGGTTGAAGACGACGGGGCGTTCGCGTCCGGGTCCGTGGTGCTCGGACGGGATGGCTCGGTCGTCGCGGAGGCTGCGTTGGCGCTCAACGACGACGCGGCGCGGTATTCGGTTCAAAACGGACGCGAGACGACGACGACGGGATCGTCGACGAGGGGCGCCGTGGGTGGAAATTTTGCCGTCGCCACCGCTTCGGTGGGTGACTTTGACGACGAAGAAGAAACGGAAGAGGTGAACGACGTCCCGGGGATTCGCGCGCCGACGCAAGGATGGTACGGCGGCGGCTTTGACGCCCCGGAGGGCACGGTGCCGCTCCCGCTTTCGTACTATCAAATCTTGGGATTGTCGCCGGCGCGAACGACGCCGAACGCGCTTCCACGAGCGGCTCTCGCCGTGATGGACGCCCCGCTTCCCGAGGGTTACTCCGTGCAACTGCTCGAACAACGACTGAGTCTCATCGACGAAGCCGTGGCGGTGCTCAAGGATGAAGAGGCTCGCCGACAGCACGATGAGGACATTCGCGAAGGTGTGCTCACTCCGGTGGAAGCGCATCGCGCCGCCGCCGCTCTGTGCTTACTTCAGGAGGCGGGCGAGTACGAATCCGTGATGGAGTTTGAGCCCGTCGTCGCGCAGTGCGTGAGCGGACGCAGGCACCGCAAGGATGTCGCGCTCACCGTCGCGCTCGCTCTGTGTGAGTTCGGCCACATGGCGCTCATGGCGAATCCGCCTCGCATCTCCGAGGGTTGCGAACTGCTCGAGATGGGATCGAAGACGCTCTCGAGTGTCGGCCGGTCGTTCGCGCCGGAAGTTCGTCGCAACATCTCGGCTTTATATCACGACGTCGCTCCGGGCTATGTGCTCGAATTGTTGTCGATGCCGCTCGAGGCCGAGTCGGAGCGCGCCCTGGGCGTGCGCGCCCTTCGCACGCTCATTTGGACCAAGGACCCGTCGCAACAGCTCGAACAGCGCGCGGCGTTCATGGAACAGACGAACGAATTACTCACGGCGCAAGAGCACGTCGCACTCTTCGTCGACGCTCCGGATTACATCCCCGTTGACTCTGACGAAGTGTACAAGAGCGCGCTCGCGCACGTCGTCGCGGGTGTCATCGATCGCAAACCCATGCTCATCGTCGACGCGGACGAAATCTTGGAGCAAATTCAGCTCGCCTCGACGCTCCCTGGCGAACTCAGCCGCTTCTCCGACGTCGCCGTCGAGCGCGCGGTGTGTCAAATTTTGCTTGGTCGCATTGAGGAAGCCGAGTACACTCTGGGTTTACACGACGATACCGCTGATCCGAGTCTCGTGCAATACATCGAGGATCGCTCGCCGAATGGAGATCTCGCGGAGGGTATGTGTGCGATGGCGGATCAGTGGCTGATCGACGTCGCGTTCCCGCTCTTCCGCGGGACAGACGCACAACCCACGCCCACCATCGAGGATTGGTTCAACACGCCGAACGTTCAAGGATTTGTGAGCCGATTGGATTCGATGCCCGCGCTCGTTCGAATCCAAGGCGCGATCGAATCGGCGAAGCGAGCCGTGGCTTCCGGCGTCGGTTCGATTGCGACGGCTTTTCTTCCGACTCCGCCGGCGCTGCAGTTTGGTATCTCCGATACCCAACGCAGAGCCGTCGCTGTGGCAAAGATTGGTGTCCTCGCCGGTGTAGCGTTCGTTCTCAACACGAATGAGCCCGGTGCTGGCTCGCGACGAGTACCGCGCGAGCCCGCGCGGCGGTTCGCTCCGTTGCAAGCGGCTCGCGGCGCGCTGTCCAACGTCAAGTTGTTGACGCCGACACGACAAACCACGCCACGCCCGGCGCCCGTGTACACCATGGACAAGGGTACCGCGGAGAAGATAGTGCGCAAGTGGCAGACGGCCAAGGCGCAGGCTTTGGGGCAGACGCACAACATGCGCCAGCTGGAAGGAATCTTAGAGGGGCCGATGTTGCAGCAATGGCAAACGCGCGCCGAGGACGTCAAGGCGCACGGATGGGCGTGGGAGTACCAACTGAATGAACTGAGTATCGACCACGTTCAAGCCGTTGGAACTGAGAAAGTTTTCGTTGAGACGACGCTCACTGAGGTCGCGGTGTTGAAGGATCACGCGAAGAACGAACCAGATGACGTGTACGAGAGCACGTACCGAGCCAAGTACGAGCTTAAAAAGTGTCGTCAAGGCTCGAAGAGCGAGTGGAAGATCGTGGGAGGAATGGTGATTTATTAAGAAGGAGAATCGCGCGACGCCTGTAACACAGATTTCATGAATCAACATCACAACTACAATGAGCTCTCTCCGTTCGCGGAGTCGAAGTCTCTCTTAACTTTTTTCGCAAACTCCCACAAGTACGCTTCGCCGCCGATGTGGGTAACGTCGTTCAAAACGTCGACGTAATCGCGATTGGGCGACAGGTCGATCCGTCCCGCGCCGATGACGGAGACGCCGTAGTTCGCGTCGTCCGCTATTTTCTGCAACTCCTTCGGTCCGACTCCAGTCATGGACGTCAAACCTCTCAAACTGTCGTCTAAAATTTCGTCCTCGCGCTTGGACTGCATGAAGAAGCAAAATTTTTCCGCATCCTTCTTGCTCTCAAACGCGAGAACGTGAAACCTATCGTTCGGTCGCGCGCGCTCGGGTATGCTATCCGGCACCATTTGCATCGCGAACAGGCGCGTCTCCCCGTGCGCCGCGCCGATGGGAGTTATCATGATCATGTGCAGCGCTCGGAGGTTTCGCCACCAATACGGGTTCAGCAACTGCGGGTGCTCGGCGGCATCTTCGTCGTCGATCGCCTCCGATTCGGGTTCGAACTCCTTGCCGAATTCATCCAACACGTGCTCGTACTTTTCGAGAAGCTCCTCTTCGGTGAATTTCCCACTCGCCATGTCCTCCTCCATACTCTTCATCGCCTCCACGAGCTCTGGCGGGTAGTCCTCCGACGCCTCCGTCGGGGCCACGTCCACGATCGTCTCCGACTCCACCGGATGCGCCGTGGACGCGTCTTTTTGTAACACGCTATTCAAATACTCATCCGCTCGCACCCACACGTCGCTCGCGCCCGTCATCGGAGGTTTCTTTTCCCTCGCCTCTCGAGCTCGACGTCTCGCCGCGAGCTCGGCGTCCAATCGAGCCGTCTTCGCCTCAAACTCCTCCGCACCGCTCCCCGGCGCGAGCGCATCTTCCGACCCCTTGACCCGCACGCGTTCCCGCCACGCCTTCGCCTTCGCTCTCGCCTCGACCCGCGCCGCCATCCGCGCCTCGATCGCCCGCCGCTCCCGCACCGCGTCCCGATGCCCACGCGCCGCGCGTTCGCTCGGATACTCTCGCAACATCTCCAACGCCAGCGCCTCGACCTCACGCGCGCGACGCAAGACGCCAACATCCGGGTCGACGCCGTCCGCTGTCGCCGCCGCCGCCCGTCGCCGCCAGCGCTCCGCCGCGCACAGGATCATCGCGCCCACGACCGCGGCCGCGACGCCGCTCGTCCCACCCGACCGCGACGCCGCGGACGGCGTCGTCGTCGTCGCCGTCGTCGTCGTCGTCGTCGGCGCGAGCGTCGACGGCGCGAGCGTCGACGGCGCGCGCGATGTCTCGCCCGTCGCGTCCCGGCGCACGGCGCCCCCGCGCGTCGCTCGCGCCCGTCGTGGGCACGCGCACGGCGCCCGCGCCCGCGTCGCGCGCGACATCACCGCGCGCGCGGCGTCGACGCGCGGGGAGGACGAATCGATGTGTGACGTTGAATGCGTCGTGCACGCATTGCATTTCAATTCAATGTGAATCGAATCACATCGAGTCGTCACACCGCGCGCGTGGACGACGAACGCGGCGCGCGCGAGAGAGAGACCGGCGGCGACATCGATGGTGCGCGACGCCGCGCTCGAGGTCGACGCGATGGCGGTGAAGACGACGGATGCGGCGTCGAGCGCGACGGCGTGGAACGGGCGAGAGGTGCGCGATGAAGATACCGAGGACGCACCGAGCGTTCGCGCGCGCGCGCGGGCGTACGAGGCGCGCGTGCGGGCGACGGGAACGGATGGGGCGGATGGGGCGGTGGAGCGGGCGCGGTCGCTCAGAGCGGGGGATCTGGAGGCGGGAATGCGCGCGGCGTTTGTGCAATTCGCGTCGTTCGGTAGAGGCAGAGCGACGATTTCGGACGAGCGAGGGACGATGGATTCGTCGCGGTTCGCGAAGATGTGTCGAGAGTGTGTGTTTCGCGATGACCCGGAGTCGGAGGAGAAGATGCGGGCGGTGGACGTCGCGTTCGCGAGACGGGCGAGACGGCTCCGGCGGGTGGATTACGAGACGTTTCGACAGCTCGTCACGGAAGATCTCGCGGAGATCGTGGGCGACGGTGCGAGCGCGATGACGGTCGCGAAGAAGTTGTTGGGAGCGACGCCGTCGGTGGGCGCGGCGGTGTCGCCGGGAAAGTGTCGATTTCACGACGACAAGACGGCGTACACGGGCGTGTACGCCGAACGACACGGGATCGAGCGCTCGGCGTCGAGACGTGCGAGCGAAACGTCGCCGCGAGCGGCACAGATCGATGTCGAAAAGTTGCCCACCGATCCCCGAGGACTGTACGCGTCGTACGAGGCGTTCTTACAGTTCTCGCCGCCGCTCGCGTCCGGGCTCACGTGCAACAGATGGTTAAAACTGTGCGAGGACTGCGGTTTACTCACCTCCGGCGGTGGAAACTTCGACTCGACGAGCGCTGGAATCATTTTCAACGCTCTCGCCGGGTCCTCGAAGACGCTGAGCGATTTTAAGGCGTTCAAGCTCGCGCTCGCGCTCTCCGCCGAGCGCGCCGAGCGCGCGTACGAAGATTTCGCGCGAGCCGTCGCCGAGGGCGAACCAATCGTTCGCACCAACGTCAGTGACGTCTCTCCGCGACGGTTTCACGACGACATGTCCACCTTCACCGCGACGCATCGCGAGGTGCATCAGAACAAGACGTTGTCGCCTCGAGCGCTTTCGATTCGCAAGCGCGCCGCCGTCGCCGCCGACGCCGCGTGACGCCCACCTCGACGCCTCGATCTGCACTGATTGGCCAGCCAAGCGTCAATCATATCCGCCTTTTCAGCATCGTTGATGAAGTTCATGATTTTCTCGACACCTTTCCTCGTCATCATGTACGCCGGCGTACCCGCCCAGTTGCAACGCTTGTCAAACTTGTACAAGTACACGTCGGGCTCCTGATCGAACCTGATGGATGGGAGATTTCCCCCCCACGTGCCGGTCGCGCGTGATTTAAATCGTTTCAACAGCTGCCCAGAAGACTCTACGTCGTACCTCATCCAAACCATGTCTGCGTCGTGCGGCAACTCATCGTACAGCTGGTCATAATCCAGCGGAGAAACCGACAGGTGCTCCGATCCATCCGACTCCCACAACACGAAATGAGTAGCATCCGATTCCAACACGCGATTCCACACCGCCATGTGCGTGAGTAAACATCCTGTGTGATGACTCAACTGGTCGTCACACGGTCGCCCGCAGTCCTCAGGGTTATTGAACGCTGCGCCTTGAACGAATGCGATCCTCGGAATTTTTTCTTTCTCTATCCTGGACACGGCGTTTTGAGCCACGTCGTAAGTCTCTGGCCAACGTTTTGGAAACGTAGCCTGTTGGAAGTTGATAACCTGACCCACTTCTTCTTTGCTCATACCCGCATGATGTCTGAGCAAGCCCGTGAGCCACGAGTAACCCGCCGCAATCTTCTGTGCGTCTTGCGATCCCTCCTTCGCGTCGCCCATGATCCACATTGGAGTCGTCATTTTCGGCGCCATGCGCTCCTGCGTCCCCAGTTCTAATGTCTCCGCGCGATCGGGCCCTGTCAACCACTTTGGGAACCCGCCCAAAGCACTGTTTGGAGTCCAACCCTGCGCCGCGCCCGAAGAGGACACGAACGCGCTCGCGCCCAGACACACGACCCCCACGACGCTCAGCGCAGAGACGAGTGCGACTCTACCACCCGTATACGAGTGCGTCGCCTTGCTCGATGGCGTTACGTTGCCCTCGACGTCAGCACCATTTTCGATATCGTCTCTGAGTAAACTCGCGCGCTCGCCGCCCGACATGCCACCGTTGCACACCGATTCCGTGATGCACGTGTGCGCGTGAGGATATCGGTTCGTTTTCGTTCGCTCGATCGCGCGCACGAGCGGTCCCACGCCACGTTCGCGCGAAGAAACGTACGAGGATGGCGTGAGGAGAAAGTTTAGTGTTGGCGAACAGCACAAGTGTCCGCGTTCGTATCCGTGAGACTCGCGAGGCAAAAGCCCCCCTTTCACTTTTTTCCGATGCCTCGTCAGCGAAATAAATATCAGACAAATTCCGTTTGCTACTATCGTATACTGGGTGTATTTTGCGGTATGTGAAACAAACTGATGTGTTAGCTTTCTACGCCCTAGGCGAGCTCGTTCGAGCGACCGAATCATCTTTGAGCAGAAGTTGTTAGACGGTTTATCCACACTTCGACGCCACGAGCGACGCTTGTCCGAGCACCGAGGTACGCTCGAGAGTGAACGCGACGGAAAATTACGAGTAAGCGCGCTCAACCAACGGTCGTCGCCGCCCCGGTCGCCCGCATCGCTCGATCGCGGTGCGAACGCTTCGAGAGAAGACGATTGGAATGCGCTTTCGACAGGACCGTGTGATCGTCGAGCGCTCACCGAGCGTTGATTGGCTATCCGAGGCACGGACGACCGCCGGCGAACGCAATCATTTCTGTTCGACCCGTCGAGTGATCTTCGACGTCATCGAGCGTAGTGAGGACGTCTCGATGGTGTCAACAGACCTCGGACAGAGCCCCTTCTCTCAGGGTGGGGTCCACGCTGAGCTCGAGAGGAAGACGGACTCCGGACTGACCGCACGAACCATCGCTTCTTGTCGCAGAGACTTTTCGAACATTCATACCAATGTTTACCATGAACGCGACGCAACTCTCTTCTACGCGAGTGTGCAACACGCGCGCACTCCGCCGAACCAGTACGAGCTCGGCTCGCCCGCGTGTGAACACGGTCACTCGTGCGATCAACGAGCTCACTGAATCGGACGTTCTCACGAGATATCCGCTCGGTGGAGATATGGATGTCTACAAGGTTGAACTCGATTGCTCTCAATCGAACATTCAGCTCGGTATTTTCCTCCAAAAGGGTCCGGACGATCGCCCCCAGGTGAGAACGATCCGTCCGGGTGGAACCGCCAAGGGCAAGATCGACGTTGGTGACGTTGTGCTCGCCACAACTTACACCGTACTCAAGGGTACTAGCGATAAATCTTACGGCAGTGCTTCTCGAGGCTGGTGCGACACCGCGGAGACAACGGCAGCGCAAGCCGAAGCTGCGATGACGACGAACTCGTCCTCCATCGGCATTGTCTTGGCTAGGAAGTACAAGGCAACCGGTCTCAAGTCTGCCAACGTTGACGAAGACACCGCCACGTGGGCCGCTCGTGTCGCCGCTGAAGCGCGCGCCAAGCGCAAGCAATAAGCACGCACGATGGAAACTTCACTGCGACATGTTTTGAGTCCACGTCAGATGTGAGCCGACGCAACGCGGGACCAGAGAACTTCTTTTAATATCGCAAACCGACCTTCCACACTTGCTACGGCCCCGACCACTTCGATTCGCCTAACTATGATGTGCAGGTGATATAACAACGTTTCACGTGAACGACGAAACGCCACAACCATTTGGTTCACGTGTGGTTCATTCTTCTGCCCTGCCCGAGGCACCACGAGTGGCACTTCCCGACTGCAGACGTCGCGGTGAAGCGCCGTCGGCGCGTGCGCCGAGGACATGATCCCAACCGTGACGCACACGACGCCGAGCAAGTCGAGCAGGCGCGGGCCCTCGTTCTGGAGCGCGCTCACGGCGGACGGAAGAGCTGGCGCGAACTCGCGGTCGGATGAGTATGAGAATGCCAAGACGCGCCCGAGACGCTACGGCGCACTCGCGGCTCGAGGAAGAACCGACTACACGATAGCGACATTACTGATGCTTGTTCTCTATCTCACCCACGCCCTGCTTGCGCGCGAACGCGGTGGTGACTCTTATCAAGGTGGACGCCCGACGGTCGGCGTGACGCGCGCGAGGCGGATAGGACCGACGGACCGAGATGAAGATATGGCGCTTGCGCGCACGGTGCGATCCAAGAATTACAGCGCCACGAACGTCCCGAAGAGCTTTTACGGTCGCGCGGCGCTTTTGAAAGACGAGGCAGGTTTTCCGTCAACGCCGCCGTTGGTGTTGAGCTCTAAGAAGCCAAAGGCGTACCTGATGCGGAACTTTCTGAGCCCGCAGGAGTGCGATCACTTAATGATGCTCGCGAAGAGAGAGCTCGCACCATCGACTGTTGTGGGGGACGGAGGATCTTCGGTCGCGTCAGAAATTCGAACCAGTGCCGGGATGTTTTTGCGCAAATCCCAAGACGACACTGTGCGCGAGATAGAGGAGCGCATAGCGCGGCTGAGTGGTGTGCCGGTAGATAACGGCGAAGGCATGCAGATTCTGCGGTACGATAAAGGACAGAAATACGATCCGCACTTCGATTATTTTCATGACAAGGTGAATCCGGCGCCGAAACGTGGTGGACAGCGAGTGGCGACGGTGCTTATCTACCTTGTCGACACTGAAGAAGGCGGTGAGACAACCTTCCCGAACGGCAGATTGCCTGAAAATTTTGAGGAGGACGAACCGGATAACCCATTCGCGGCGCATATCAAACACACTGACTGCGCGAAGAATGGAATTCCGGTGAAGAGCGTTCGCGGTGATGCGATTTTATTCTTTTCAATGACGAAGGATGGAGAGCTCGACCACGGCTCACTTCACGGAGCATGTCCTGTGATTGCCGGGCAGAAATGGACGGCAGTCAAATGGCTGAGAGTGGCTAAATTTGACGGTGGATTCAAAGACGAACTGCCGATGATCCCCTTGACGCGACGCACTGAGAGAGAGCCTTGCGTGGATGAGTGGGACGACTGCGCTTCATGGGCCAGAGACGGTTGGTGTGAGCGCAATCCCGAGTTCATGAAGTTCGCTGGTGCGCGCGATTCTCACACCCCAGCATGCCCCAAGTCGTGCGGCCTGTGTACCTCGACGTGAACGTATGCTCGCTCGAGGAACGGTGTAACATATTTAGCAGCGCGTTGTGAAGCCTATTAAGGTCCCGTCAGCCGCGTCCACACTTTGCCACTCGCGACAGGACGCCATGCGAAGTCGCCCGTCGACGCTCGCGATCGATTTCGACGCTCTATTGAGTCATTACACCGGTAATGCCCTCGTTGATCGCTTGATCGTCATCGCCGAGAGGACCACGGACGACGTCGTCGCTCTAACGGCGCTGCGACACGCCAAGCGGGTGCTCGAGGAAGCGGTGAATCCGTTCACAATGAAACCGCCCGCGTTCGCGAACGGAGCGCTGTACCAGAGAGCACAGGCGACTGCTAAGCGTAGGAACATTTCTAAGTCCGGTGTCGAGTTCACCGACGCCTGGATCGAGGAGAACGCTCGAAAATCCGACGCTGAATTGAGAAAACTAGAATCTGGGCTCACCGACCTGTTGACAGAGCGCGTCAAAGAGAATTTGAGAATGCAATACGTGGAGCTTGGAGATCATTACTACGATCGAGGCGACTTGAAGAACGCATTGGCTTGTTACATGCGCACGCGGGACTACTGCTCGACGCCCAAGCACATCGTATCGATGTGCCTCAGCGTCATAGCTGTTTCGCTCGAGGCTGAAAATTTTGCTCACGTCAACGTGCACGCGAACAAAGCGTTGACAACTCTCGACCTCATCGACGGTGATGAAGGGGTGATCGTATTACGAGCTAAGTTAGCGTGTTCTAGTGGGATAGCTGCTTTACGAATGGGGCACTTCAAGGAGGCTGCCAATAAATTTACGGAGATACCCATGGAAATCGGTACCTTGTACGCGAGCATGTGTGCAACAAAGGACGTGGCAACTTACGGAACCCTATGCGCTCTTGCGAGCTTTGACAGAAATGGCCTGCGAGAATTAGTTTTGGATAACAAGAAGAGTGCTTTTCGCGCTCATCTGGAGGCGGCGGCGGAAGTCAGAGAGGTGGTGAACGACTTTTACAACTCGAAGTACACATCGTGCTTCGCAACATTGGACTCCATGCGAGACGTGCTCGCGCTTGATATCCACCTCGGTGCGCACGTTGAAACTCTTTACAAGCAGATACGTGAGCGCGCTCTTATTCAATACGTCGAACCGTACATATCAGTGGATTTGACGACGATGGCTATGGCTTTCAACACAACTCCCGAGGCGCTTCAAGAAGAGCTCGTGCGACTGATAGCGACTGAGAAGATTCGAGCGAGGATCGATGCGACGGATAATACCTTACGCGCAACGGGTGAAAATCAGCGGTTGAAAGTTTTCGAACAAGTGATATCGGACGGTGAGAAATTTGAGGAAGAGACAAGGGCGGCAATCCTTCGCGTCTCCTTGCTCCGAAACGATGTCATCACAACGGCGCTTGACGGCGCTCGGGCACGAGAGCGTGCAAGCCGCTCGCAGCCCTCGTAGGACACCCATTAGTAGCATTAGCTATATTTTGTTCGCTTCTTTGTTGTAAAAACATTCTCTCAGGTTCATCATCGCGTCGAGGATCTTGTCTACTTCCAGCCTGATATATTCATATTCGGTCAAGCTTTCGGAGTTGTTCGCAACACTTGGGCACGCGCGCGGACGAGTCCGCGCTCGCGATCGACGAGAAGTGTCCGACGAGAAGTGTCCGACGAGAAGTTCCACTCGATCGTAGACGATCGGGACGCCTTGGACGCCTCTTTAGCTCGCGACGGCCTTTTCGGTGAGACTCCCAGAGCGGAGGCCAGTAATCGTCACCATCGCCATGGAGAACTACGAGAAGGTGGCGAAGATCGGTGAGGGGACGTACGGGGTAGTGTACAAGGCGAAAAGCCTTCGAGATGACGCCATGGTGGCGCTGAAGCGCATAAGGCTCGATCAGGACGACGAGGGGGTGCCGTCGACTGCGATTAGAGAGATCTCGCTCCTCAAAGAGCTGCGTCACGAGAACGTGGTGTCCCTCCTCGAGGTGATTCACGAGGAGACAAAACTGTACCTGGTGTTCGAGTACTTGGATCTGGACCTGAAAAAGCACATGGATTCCTCCCCGCACATCTCGAACGATCGGATGGTGATAAAGGGATATGTCTACCAGATATGCGCGGGCATCGCGTTTTGTCACTCGCACCGAGTGCTCCATCGTGATCTAAAGCCACAGAATTTGTTGATCGATACGACGAATAATGTGTTAAAGTTGGCAGATTTTGGCCTGGCGCGGGCGTTCGGCATCCCCGTACGTGCGTACACTCACGAAGTTGTGACGCTCTGGTATCGTGCGCCAGAAATTCTCCTCGGAGTGCGCACGTACTCAACTCCAGTGGACGTTTGGAGCATAGGATGCATTATGGCGGAGATGGTTAATCACGCGCCCCTGTTTCCGGGCGATTCTGAGATCGATGAATTGTTCAAAATCTTCAAAACTTTGGGTACTCCGGGCGAGACCTTGTGGCCCGAGGCGAAGCAGTTGCCAGATTACCAAGAGGGATTTCCAAAGTGGAAGGCGAAGCCGTGGGAGTCGCTGTGCCCAGCCCTGGACGAAGCTGGCGTAGACCTCTTGAGATCGTTACTGCAGTACTCACCAGAGAAGCGTATAAGCGCCAAATACGCGACGCAACACAGATGGTTTGATGACTACAGGGAACACATCGGTCGCTGAGATTCTCGGCGAATCGGAGACGCTTCCGTCGTCCCGGAAGTAGTAGCGTTTAGACTCTGTACTATATTACACGAGATGATTAGAGATCTATTTTCGAGCAACCGTCACGTCCTTCGCCTTCACGACACTGCGCGTTTTGTTCGGCAGGATTACTTCTCCCGTCTTCTCGTCGTATTCGCACGGCAATGCCGCAGCGGTGCCCTGGAACACGTTAAGGACGGTGAATGCCAAGATGGGGGAGAGATCGATCCCGCCAAGGGGCGGGATGATGCCTCTGAACAGGTTGAGGTACGGGTCGCAAAGCGTCGCCAGGGGGTACGCGAGCTGCCTCGGTGGATTCGGGAACCACGTCAAGATGAGTCGACCGATGATGAGTGTGTTGTAAATGTTCAGCGTGGAGAAGATGCCGCTCGTAATGACGCTCTCCACGGCGCTGTCCCCGGGGATCATTGCCGCGAGAAACTTCCCTCTGAGTCGCGGGTCGCATCGCAAAACCTCGCGCTTGTCCGGACCGATCCCGCGAGATCGACCGCGAACGTGCACGGCATTTCCGTCATCACGCAAGCGCTCGATCGCCGCCGTCGCACCCTCTCGCGCGGCGTCTCCCAGCTCGACGAGCGTCCGTCGTGCGCGAGCGAGGACGTCATCGCTCTCGGCCCAATCGTTCGCGCGCGCGGAGGTCAGGACGCCGCGCTCGAGCGCCCGGGCGAACGGCATGGTGATGAACGCGCGATGTTTCACTCGTTCGCGAGTGAGCGCGCTCGCGTGTGCGGACGTGCGCGGGCCCGGACGAGGACGGGACGAGGACGAGGACGCTGGAGAAATCAAAACGAAACCATCGCACTTTCCGTACTCACGACCTCGAGTCCCCCCTCGTCGAGTGATCACTCTAGTATCGCACGCCAAGACCTCCAGGAGGCCCCCGGGGCTCGCGCCACTCGCCGTCGTCGCTCTCGGCCCCGAGACGTCATGGCTGCTTCTACGAGTGCGGTGCGTGTGCGGTTCGCGCTCTGAGACGATGATGAGAAATTAATCCATCGCGTCCTCGTCCATCGTCACCCGCTCGCGCGCGACACACCCGTCGACGGCCCGAGTGACGATCCGTCTACGAGGTTTCGGGGATAAGCGACGTCACCGGCGGCGGCGGTGGCGACGTGCCGCTCGAGCGCGCCCGCGTCGTCGATGCGACGTCTTCGGTGGAGGAATCATTGAATAATCGACTGACAACACACTTGGTGTTTTCTCAAGCGCAGCTCGCTCAGCGCGCCACCATCGCTCAAGTTCGCGTCGCCGCCAGGTGCGTGCGCGACCCCACGCGCGGGTGGATAGACCGCGTACAGTGGCGAATCCTGCGACAATCGAGAGCGTCGCGAACGCTTTCTCGCGCGCACGCGGTGGAGAAAAATATTCCGTCGAACAATTGACTGACAATTCACCCTCACTCGCGTCACCGGTACAGCAGATCCCAAAAGCGCGTCGTCGTCGCGCGCCGATGCGCTGTCGTCGCCGCGGTGTCTGAACCGGCGGCGGAAGCGGATGGCAAGGCCGACAAGAAGCCGCGCCGCCGATTCCCGCGCAAGAACGTTACCGTTGAAGACTCTGCCGTCGTCGTTGGCGCTGAGTTTTCGGGTAAGGTGAAGCGCATCCAAGACTACGGCTGCTTCGTCGACTTCGGCGCCAAGCAAGACGGTTTGGTGCACATCTCCGAGCTCAAGGATGGTTTCGTCGAGTCTGTTGCCGAAGTTGTCTCCCAAGACCAAGATGTTCAAGTTTGGGTGAAGGAGATCAAGGATGGCAAAATTTCGCTCACCATGAAGAAGCCCAAGTCCGAGGAAGAGCTCGCGGCCATCAAGTCTGAGCAAGAGGCCAAGTTCCTCGCTCGCCAAGAGTACAAGAAGCAACAGGACGCGAAGGTTCAAGCTGTTAAGGGCTTGAAGAAGGGTGAAAAGGTTGAGGGTGAAGTCAAGTCGATCCAACCGTTCGGCGCCTTTGTTGAAGTCGCCGAAGGCTGTGAAGGTTTGCTTCACGTCACTGAACTCTCGGATGACTTCAACGTCAAGGTTGAAGACTTCGTGAAGGTGGGCGACAAGGTGACCGTCACCATCGTCGGCATCGAAGGTGCTAAGGTCAAGCTTTCCATGAAGGAAAAACTCAACGTAAGTACCTCTTCCCGCGCACCCGCATGAGTCGCGCTCGATCGATTGATGATTTTCCACAGCAAAGCGAGAACACGTAGACTGACCTCGTTATTTTCATCTCAGTTGAATGAAATGAATGCTGAAGCCTCCGCCGCTGTCGAGGGTGCTGTCAGCGCCATGGAGTACGCGCTCAAGAAGAAGGGTATTTCCGCGAGCATGTTCCCGTCCACGTCCGAGGTGAGTGCATGAGCAACGTCGCGGCTTGGGTTCCCTCAACCGCCGTTGTAATACGTAGTGCTATATTTTTTGGACCTTTTACTCACTCAAATACCTCGCAGGCTAAGGCTACTCCGGCTCCGGCCACTCCCGCCGCGGCTCCCGCCGCGGCTCCGGCCGCCGCGGCTCCAGTCACCGCGGCCCCGGCCGAGGAAAAGAAACCAGCTGCGGCTGCTGCCGGTGGCATCTCCGCCGCCCTCGTCAAGCAACTCCGCGACTCCACCGGCTGCGGCATGATGGACTGCAAGAAGGCGCTCGCTGAGAATAACGGAGACATCGATGAAGCGACTGCCTGGTTGCGCAAGAAGGGTATGGCGTCGGCCGACAAGAAGCAAAGCCGCATCGCCGCGGAAGGTGCCGTTGTGTCGTACATCCACGCTGGCTCCCGCATTGGTGTTTTGTTAGAGTTGAACTGCGAGACCGATTTCGTCGCTCGTGGTGACAAGTTCAAGACGCTCGCTCAAGATCTCGCGATGCAAGTCGCGGCCTGCCCGGAGGTGGAATACGTCCTTCCGTCGGACGCCGACCAAGAAATGGTCGAGCGCGAGCGCGCCATTGAGATGCAAAAGGAGGACCTCTTGTCCAAGCCGGAACAAATTCGTGAGAAGATCGTCACTGGCCGCATCGAGAAGCTCGTGAACGAGAAGGCTCTCGTCACCAAGGACTTCATCAAGGATACCAGCATTACTGTTGAAGAGCTCGTGAAGGCGGTGACTGCAGAGATTGGCGAGAAGATCTCCATCCGTCGATTCGAGCGTTTCAACCTCGGTGAAGGCATCGAGAAGCGCGTGGATGACTTCGCCGCGGAGGTGGCGGCTCAAACTCAAGCTAAGGCACCGGCTCCACCGAGTGAAGAGAAAAAGGAGAAGGAAGAGGAGAAGAAAGAGGTGTCCACTGTGAAGGTCGACGCGAAGCTCGTCAAGCAACTCCGCGACTCCACCGGCTGCGGCATGATGGACTGCAAGAAGGCGCTTGGTGAGAATAACAACGACATCGATGAAGCGACTGCCTGGTTGCGCAAGAAGGGTATGGCGTCGGCCGACAAGAAGCAAAGCCGCATCGCCGCGGAAGGTGCCGTTGTGTCGTACATCCACGCTGGCTCCCGCATTGGTGTTTTGTTAGAGTTGAACTGCGAGACCGATTTCGTCGCTCGTGGTGACAGGTTCAAGACGCTCGCTCAAGATCTCGCGATGCAAGTCGCGGCCTGCCCGGAGGTGGAATACGTCCTTCCGTCGGACGCCGACCAAGAAATGGTCGAGCGCGAGCGCGCCATTGAGATGCAAAAGGAGGACCTCTTGTCCAAGCCGGAACAAATTCGTGAGAAGATCGTCACTGGCCGCATCGAGAAGCTCGTGAACGAGAAGGCTCTCGTCACCAAGGACTTCATCAAGGATACCAGCATTACTGTTGAAGATCTTGTGAAGGCGGCGACTGCAGAGATTGGCGAGAAGATCTCCATCCGTCGATTCCAGCGTTTCAACCTCGGTGAAGGCATCGAGAAGCGCGTGGATGACTTCGCCGCCGAAGTTGCTGCCGCGACTGGTGCGAATTAATTGATGCAAGTAGGTGACAAATTTTGCGTGCGCACGATAGATACAAGCTATTCTGTTCAATAACATTCTTCAAATTCATCCTAAATAATAAAGTACATCCATCTTCAAGCCAGCGCGTAACGCGAGCGTAAGTACGCATCTGCCTCATCGCGGCTGTGGCCACCGATCTCAACCAAACCTCGCGCGATGATATCGTGATACGCGGGTGAAGGTGGGTTCACCTCGTCTATGATTCCCGTCCGTATATCGAGTAAGTCTGAGGGAGGGAGAGTAAACGTGAGAACTGGTTCAGCTGGCTTGTAGTAGCCGAGACACTGAACGTAGCCATACCAGCTCTTCGGAATGCGGTGATGACCCGACTTCGTCCTCGCCATGTCGAGAACCTCTTCGACGGTCAATCTTGCCTCGACCGCGGCCTCTTCGTTCGGGTTTAAACCCGATTCCTGCGCTAAAACGTCGTTCCACTGGTCAAGAGTGATTCGGTACAGTCGCAGAACGCTGTGTAAGCTCGCATCTTCTTCCTCTCTCGTGACGTCCAGGAAAGCAACACCCCCGTTGGACCACCAAGGGCTTGCCTTTGCAAAGAACATGCGATGTGGGACGACGATCGAGGAAGTAGGACATTGACGAGTCGGCGGCACGGCAAAAGGGACCGTGGAGTCTCGAGCTCCAGGCTGCTCCACACTGGCTCCGGGAGGTCGGCCACCTGCGAGGTAGCATCGAAACCGTTCAGCGCATAGATTAGAACCATATGAACCGTACCAGACGTACTGTGTGCCACTGACTGACATGCTGATGTGACGCCACGAGACTGTAGGAGGCGCGCAGTGACGAATTGAACGGAACGCTTTCTTTGTCAAGGTGAGATCGATGGGTATTACATGTAACGAATATTATCGACACTTGCGTCGTTACGTTCGTCATCGTCGTCGGTGTTTACTCGTCTTCGAGCGCACCAGTGGTCTTGAGCGCAACAAATGCGGCGGAGGCAAAGCCGACAATCCACAGAGCGCCAAGCGCGATGTAGTTTTCATAGTACAAACACGCACCCGTACCGGCGACGGCAATAACTCCACCGACGGCGATTGCACCGCCGAGCTGACTCGCGTCCATCTTAGCGGTCGGGTCTTCGCTGGAGGACATCTTCTTGCCACCCTGCTGCTCGCCTTCCACATACATCGGCGTCTCAACGGCAAAGACGTTGTTACTCTCCAACGACGTGTTCGAACCGCCAAAACCGATAGGGGCGACGAAGTCCGGACCCAAAGAACCATTCTTAGCGTCGACATAAATACCATCCGCGCGCATGTCCACCGGGAACACCTCCATCGGGCGGCACGTGTCCTTCGGCGTAAGCCTTGCGAGCACTGGGTTATCTGGATACCACTCCTTGATCTCCCCCGTCTTGAGATCGAACTTGGTCTTTGTCGTCGGACACTCAATGCACGCGTCTTGCGTCAATCGAGCGCGTTCGAATCCCTCAGAGTACGCCCCTTCGGCGGGCGAGCGAGACTCGATTGCGAACACAGTGTCGCGATACCAGAACAACAAAATGCTCTTTCCGAGCATTCGCACAAGCTTGCGCTCGCCTCGCGGGAGTTCATCCATGTCACATGCCTTGGCCATCGCGCTAGAATCCGCTGCGGCCATGGCGACGACGGTCGCTCGCGCTGCTCGCGTCGTCATATTCGACCCTCGCTCGACGCTCGCCCGTACAGCGTCGTGCTCTCGTTTCGCGAACGCCATCGCGGACGCGTTCGCGAGTGGACGGACCTCGCGCGCCCTCATACGCTTCGTGCGTTGAGCGCACGACGCGTGAGGGTGCGCGATCGCTCGCAGAGTCGTCGGCGTCGTCGCCATGGTCGTACTTCGGTGAATGCCCGACCGGGGCTACTATCTAGTGACGTCGACTAAATCCATCGCAGAAGGGTCCGTGTTGTACGGTTTACAAAGTCTCAGCACTCTGCTCGGAGACGGTTGAGCCCCATCATACGAACGTCCAGTCAGCAAATTCGTCGTCGCGTATATCCGTAGGGGGTACAGAGGGCGACGCGCGTTCAGCGTGACGCGGTGATATCGACTTGTATCTATCGTCGGCAGGACGAATCGCGAGCGCAGGCGCGGTGGCGTTTACTCGGGCGAGTGCCTCGATGTCGACGAGGAGAGAGGCGACGTCGTCTCCGTCGCGACAGTAAAATCCCAGAGCGAGCGTTGGATCGAGATCTCCACCACACACGTGCAATGGAGTCGGACAATAATAGCTCTCAAAGTCCATCGTAACCATCGACGAAGCGACTTGCACCGTGTGCGGATCCAGGTAAAAGAAGACGTCGTCAGAGTGACCGACCAAGTACAGAGACGAGTTTGGACGTCCGCCGACGATACCTACCGATTGTTTGAACGCCATCATCGATCTCAACTGACTAAGATATCTCGCATTGATGGTCCTTCCCACCCCCAACACGACCGGCACGAAAAGTAATAGCGCCTTGCCGACGTCCGCGCTCTTTGCTCGTACTTCGGCTTCATCAACTGTCGGCACGCCACCGTCTTCTCCCTCTCTTCCGCTCACCACGTGCACGGTGAGTTCGCTCCCGAGATCATGCTCAGCGACCAATGCCTCAAAAGCGCGGCACATGACGCTCGGCTCGAACCATCGTCCCGGTGGCGCGCCCCACTCTGTCGTTTTCTCGCACACCCTGTGAATGGAAAACGGCGCGCCAACTTCATCCGCGAACAGACGTAAGATGTCCTCTTGCGCGTCGGAGCCCGCCCTCGTGCGTTCGCTCTGTGGTATTTTCAATTTGTTTACGACCCCACTTAGGAAAGAAACCGCTGGTGACTTGGAGCCGTCGTCTGCTGTCTCGTTCTCGTGCACGGCTACCAACTGCACTTCGCGCCGCCAATGCCGACCTCTACTGTGGATACTCAGCGCGTTCGCCAACATCATCTGAGCGCTTCTGAGTGTACACCCCCAGCCCGCATCTGTGCACCACTTCGTGCGCCCAAGCGCCTCGAATCCGCGTCGATAAGTCATCCAGCACCGCGAACGCCAGTCTCGCTCCCACTCTCGGCGCCCAACCTCGTTCGAGCGTTCGCCGCTCGAGGTCTCTCGATCCCAGTGCGTGACCCCGAACATGACCAACGAAGCGTCTGGTGGTAAATCATCCAGCGTCTTTCTCGTCACCAATCGACCGAGCGCTCGCACGCGAGGGTGATGCGCCACGGCTGCTCTCGACACGCGCGCGAACCTTCGTACCTTCTCTCCAAATGGCTCGATCACGTCCCCGTCATCGCCGCGTTCGATCTCATCGTCCTTTCTCCGAGTCTCATTTGCATCGCTCGTCGTCGTCGCCTCCAGTGCCGATGACGCGCGCGTCTCCGCGACGTCGTCGAAGGTGACCATCGCGAAACCAAACAGTTACTCCTCGTGTCTCCCGCGTCCTTCGTCTCGTCGCTCGAGTCTCCGTTCGGTCGCTCGATTAGACGTCGACGCTCGGAACGGCGTCTATTTCACCTCGCCACTCGGATTCGACGACGTCGAGCGCGCTTCGCTTCACGCCCGCGATGTCGCGCTGTGAAGATCTCATCACGTCGTCGCCACCGACAAAAACGGGCCCAACGGAGACGTGCGCGCGCGCCCGCACTTTTCGGCCTCGCGCGTCGGCGCGAGCGGTGGAGGTCCGGACGACATGACGATCGATCGTTGGAGCGTGACGCGTTGCGTCGCCCTCGCCGCGTCGTCCGCGCTCGGTCTGGACGCGTACGCCGACGCAATCTTCGGCGAACAGTGCGCGTTCGCCTTGCCCACGGTGGAGCCCGACGCACGGGGCGAGCGCGCGTCGTCGTCCAAGCGCTCGGACGAGAAGAGAGAGCGAGAGCGTAAAGAGGCTAAAAAGGAGCTCGAGCGAACGTCGCTCGGACGTCTCGTCGTTCGTTTCAAGGATGTGCGCGGGAGAGCGCTCGCGGGTGACCTGGACCTCGTCGCATTTTACTTTGGCGTCTCGGCGCTCGGTGCGCTGGGGGCGTTCGTGGAGCGCATCGTCAGAGCGCGGTCGGAGATTTCGGACGCGCTCACGCCCACGCTCGCGGCCTTTGGGATCGGGATAGCGATGCGAGCGCTCTGGCGCGCGCACACGGACGCGCGGGTGACGCCGAGTTCGGAGAAGACGGTGGCGATGCTCTTCGCGTTCGTCGCTTGGTGCGCGTCGACGCTCTTCGTTCTGCTTGCACCCGTGGGAGTGAGGGATTTCAAACTCGCGAGCGTCGCGAACGCGGTGAATGAGGTGCTTGTGGATAACCTGCGCGGGAGGCCGCAAGCGTCGCTCGAAGTCGTCGGCGTGACGTTCGGGTTGCTCGGCGCGGCTGTCGCCGGTTTATCGCTCGCGGCGACGGTTCGCGTGACGAAAAGCTATCTGATCTTTACGACCATTCCCGAATGGGCGGCCTCGTACGCGGGATCGTCCGCAGTTTCACACTGGAGAAGATTTGTCGTGCACACTGCTCTCGCGCTGCCCGTCTTAGCCGTCGTCGCAGGCTCTCCGGCGATGGTTTCGGAGCCGCTCGGACTTTTGGACACGACCACTCGAGATATTCAGTGCGTGATGTTCGTCATCGCCGGGACTTTCATGATGGCGAGCGTTAATCCTTTGACACAGGCGCACTTAGATTCCGGATTGATTGCGTGGTACGAGGTGAAAGAAGGAAATGACGACGGCGTCCTGAGCGAGCGCGCCGTCGCGGTGGTTACACGTAAACTTGACGTTACCAACCATCTGGTGTGCAAAGTCGCGCTCCAAGTGGCGGCTCCTGCGTTGTTTATTTTCTCATGCGGTCTCGGCGGTTTGACCGCGACGACGTTTACGTCAGAGATGTTCGTCATCTTGGGCTGGTTCTCGGCGGCGTGGAGTGTCGTCGTGGGTATCTTCACCGTGGTCGCGTCTCAGCCAGAGGTCGTGTTCGCAACGCGCTGACAACGCGTAGCTATGTATTATTAGGTCTACACGTAGCACTAGCAAGTCGTGACGACGGACAACGTACATTATAATTATAATTCTTCCCCGGTCGCGCCCCCGTCTCTGTCCTCGCTCGGCGGCTCGACTCGGGCGTCTGCTTCGCTAAAGACCATCTATAGACTATCGTTGTCGTCATCGTCCTGTTCGATTCTTCGCCATGCGAGCTCCTCTGGGCGATCCCACGTACTCTCCTTTGTCTCTTCGTTGTAGAAATACTTCACCCCCGTGTCCTCGCTATCGTGCGAGCTCCACTTCGTTCGAGGCTCGTACGTGGACTCACCCGTATTCGGATCGACCCAGAATTCCTTCCCCTCGTCATCGCTATACGTCGTCAAACCGTCTGGATCGTCCCACCGTGACTCACCGGTCACGTCGTTATAAAAGAAGACTTGCTTCGCGGATTGGACGGTGGTCGATAAGGTCGATGTGAAGACAACGAAGACGAAGAGAGCAATACCGTGAGCGCGCATGGTTGGACACCGAGAAGTAAGGGTCGCCGAAAAGTGAGATCATTGCGGACACGCTCGCGAGTGGAACGGGACATCGAAGATGGGTTTCACGTACATCTGAGGGTGGTGGATCTATCGTTTCGTTCGGATCTTTCCGCCGGTGACGACACCCTTTACGGTATTTCTCGGCGCGGCGCCATCGAGGATGGCTTCGCCGTGAAGTTTTCGCCGCTCCTTCGCGCGATCTCGATACTTCTCCATTTGCATCGCGCGAGTAGGTGCGGCTTCGACCGTAGCGACGACTAGACGATTTGTATTCTCATTCATCGACGCCGACGGAGCCGATGAACCGCCAACCACGATGTGCTCTTGCGTTTTCTCGTTCCATGAGTACCACACGTTTGTCGCGGCGTCATAAAAGAGACCCGTAACGGCGTCGTACAAAGCACCGGTCGTCCGGTGTCGGTAGTAGCCGGTGGCTTTGTCGAAGACGTAATCACTCTCACAGGCGCTCGACTTCGTCATTGACGACACGGCGGTGGCTTGCAAAATCGCAACCTGTGCAGCCGCGCTAGCCGCGGCTTGTCGATTCGATCGTGCAGAGTTGGAGAACTCTATCGATAACCCTCCATGAGACCAGTCGCCCCGGAGCGCCGCTCCGTTGAGCGCATCCTTTACAAGCGTTGCGTTCGAAACCGTTCCGCAATCGACGAAAGCGAAGCCCTTTCGTCGACGCGTTGACTTATCCACGGGCACCTGAATTGAACGAACGCACCGTATATCTATGACGGAGCCCACCTTGTTCGCTATTTCTTCCTCCGTCGCATCAGACGGGACGTTATTGAAAAATAAAATCTGTGTCTGGTGAGTGGACGCCGACGGCGGTGGCGATGGAGCGCGGCGCTCTCTGTGCTGCGCTTGCTCGTCTGGAGGCCACTCCGTCCGACGTCTTGGTGGTGAGACTTGGCGCTCTCGACTATATCTATCGCGCCGCTGCTCGTAGTCTTCGTCCCCACGGCGCATCCACCTCGGCGGCGATCTTCGCCCATCATCCCGACCGCCTCTTTCCCACGTACCGCGTTGATCTTCGCGATACCGTTTTGACATGACCGCTCGCCCTCGGCTTAATCGTCGTCCTGTGAACGATTCCTCGCGCGCATCAAAGTCACCGTCGACGTCGAACGAGTGGTCTTCTCGTCGTCGTCATCGTCTCGCGCGCACCTGTGACGGGCGCGTTCTCATGATCGCGTCACGGACTGAGGAGTCTGTAGGACTTTTTTTTTACACATTTTCTACAGATGCGCTCGCGACCGCACATGGACGCGCGCGAGGGATCGTTCGCGCGCATCCGACCGGACGCATGGATAGCGACGGCGTACGTCACCCGGGACGACGCCCGTGAACTCGCGCGCGAGCTCTTGGGGCCACGCGCCGTCGTGAGTGACGAAGACACGAGCGACGCGTTCGTTCGTTCGGCTGACGGCGACGTGTGCGCGACGGCGAGGGGGACGCGTTTCACCAGGTTGCGCGGTCGTAGGTGTGTGAGCTTTGGTGGCGTGGTCAACGCGCGCGTGACGCTCTCTCGCGACGACTTCCCTCCACTCGTACGAAAGCTGATGCAACGAGTTTCGACGAGCGCGGGCACGTTGGTGGCGACGAACGACGCGCCCGATGAATCGATGGAGAAGATGAAGGCCACGACGTCATTTATGGCGAATCACGCATTGGTGAACATATACGACGAAACTGAAGGTATCATGCCCCATGAAGATGGTCCGTTGTATCGCGACGTGGTGTGCATAGTTTCGATAGGAGCGAGCCGAGTGATTCAATTCACTCCGAAGCAAACGGGTGAGGGCACCACGTCGTTGATGGCATTCGATGTTTTCCTTCCACATCGGTCGCTCTTCGTTTTCACCGGCGAAGCCTATTGCAGTTATTTACACGCAATAAAAAGCGGGGACCGATTCGACGAGAAATCTGCAAGTAGCATTAATGTGGAGAACTTTCCTCCAGGTTGCGACGTCGTCGAGCGTCAGGGATACAGGATTTCGCTGACATTTCGTCAAGTGCTGAACGCAAGACGAGCGCCGGCGTTTCTTACGAAGCCTCGCACTTGATTGAATTGCCGCTCTGTCTCGTTCTCGGCGCTGCGCGACTTCACTTTGGGGCGCGCAAATGCTCACTGCCGCGACGGATTCGTCGATAGCAAACGATGGACAGAACTCTGCGTCGTTCGGAACCGCGACGGATGCGATATCCAAGCTCAGAATCGCTCCTTCTGAACAGAGCGAAGCGTCAGAGATGCCTGTGCCTGTGCCTCGGCGCACCATTCTGTGTCCCGTTAACGACGATGACATCTCCGCAGCTGCGGTAAAGTGGGCGGTGAAAAACATCTACCGCGACCGTCGGGACACGATTCATCTACTGAAGATCCTGCCTCCGGCGCATTGGAGTTTCACGTACGCTTACGCGCCTCGACCGACGCGCGAGCGTCTCGATAAAACAGAAATGAAACAGTTTGTCCGAGACGAGGCAAAACGTGCAATTCAGGCGCGATTTGGACGAGACTTAGCGATGCGCAAGGTCCCGTACGTCATCGATTTGACCACTGGACAATCCTCGAACGTCGCGATCGGAGAGTTAATCTGCGCGATATCGGAAGCGGTGCAGGCTAGCGTGATTTGTATGGCGACGCATAATCGGGGCGCGATGCGCAGGTTTTTTGTCGGCTCGGTGGCGAATTACTGTCTGCGCAACTCTAAAGTACCCGTGGTGATGATCCGTCCTGAAGAAGGCACGGTGTTGAATCGGAGTCATCACCGCGTACTGATTCAAAAGAGCGGTGGATGGACTATCGCGCCATGAACACGTTGGAGATCGACGAGTGAGCCTCCGCGGCTGACGGCGGTGTCGACGCAGCGCTCGTGAGCATCGTTGTCGCCTTTCGATTTTTGACCTTGAAACCAGACTGGAAATGGACACCAGAGGGCTCCGATTGGAGAGGCGTTGTAATACGACCATGAGGAGGTACGAATGGCCGTGGAACAGCTCGTGATCCCACATCGTGACCCCGTGGAGCTGTTGCCGAGATCGAATCGCATCATCGCCCTGCAACAAGCGCTCGTCGATACGTACTCACTGTCTCACAGTAAATCCTAAATCTGAATGTGTATAGCGCGCGTGAAACTCGCTTGGATGTATCGACAGATGAATTACAATGTTTTTCTGTTCGCATGGAGACCGTTATTATCAGCTCATTCATCTCTTCATCAGCCTTATTTAGCGTTTCGGCCTGGTAAAGCCTTGGCTTTTCTTGGTTCACACGTCTCGAGGTACTCGAGCGCATGCTTCGAGTCTTCATCGAATTTTCTCAAACGCTTCAGTCGCTCTTTGTCCGTTGAGCGGTTTAAGTTGTACCAAAACTGTCCAACCGGAACGCCGTCTCTTTCCCCATCATCTTCATGGTCCCATCGCGCGAGTGTGGCCACATCGTTCTTTCTCGGCAACTTGCCATCCAAGTGGTCGCGGACGTGCGCGCTGAAAATCTTCAACTTGCGCGCGTCGTGCGCTGTGTTCATATATGCATAGCCATCTTCGCGCAATACACACGTCTCGAGATACTGGAGCGCATTGTTGGAGTCTTCATCGAATTTTCTCAAACGCTTCAGTCGCTCTTGGCCCAATGAGCGGTTTAAGTTGTACCACCAATCTCCCACCGGAACGCCGTCTCTTTCCCCATCATCGTCATGGTCCCATCGCGCGAGTGTGGCCACATCGTTCTTTCTCGGCAACTTGCCATCCAAGTGGTCGCGGACGTGCGCGCTGAAAATCTTCAACTTGCGCGCGGCGTCAACGATCAACTCAAACTTCCAATCGAGCCAGCGGCGAACACAATCTTCAAAAAGCGCGGAACATGCTGCGCACAAACCGTCGCCTTGACGAAATGTCTGATTTTTATCAATTGTACCGATTTGCTTCTTTTTGATGCGAGAGTATCGGTTGAAAATCGGTTGAAACACGTCAATGACCAATGCGCCGACGAAAAACATATTTACAGTGCGACAGGCGTCGGCGCGGTTGCACAGAACGCACTTCCGCTTCCCCTTCCCCGTGTTCGTCGCCTCCTCCGCCGGGTTCTCGTCCGCACCACCTGTCGGCTCGGCGCCACTCGTGCCCTGGCCCCCCCGCGCGACGCCATTGTCGCGTTTTTCAGCGCTTTCCGTGTCTCCTGTGCCGTCGAACGCACCGCCGGCACTCGTCGAGTCCACCGCGCGCGCGCCGATCTCCGCGCGCCGTTTCGCTTGCTCCTCGCCCTGTTGCGCATCGTCACGCCCACGCTTCGGTGCGAACAACGCGCGAATGGCTTCAATCATCCTCCGTGATTGTATTACAATAGTTTCGGAAGTAGGAAACTATCAGTCGGTAGTCGTCAGCCGCACGCGCGCGTCGCTGAATGCCCTCTCCACGTCCCAGACGCGCGACGTCGCGCGTGGTGCCCAGATTTGTGACCGGAATCGATTTGCCTCGCTCACTCCGTCATCTGTGCGCGTCTTGTCGTTCGCGGAACGGACTATATTTCTGTTCTCGCTCACATCATTTTTTGAGGAGGTGTGTCATTGTGTCTGTCTCTTTTCGTGGTGGTGTTGCTCTGGTGTCGGGTCCTCCTGTATGTTCTAGACCCTAATTCTAGGGGAATTGGGTTCGAAGTTTAGGGTTTAGGGTTTAGGGTTTAGGGTTTAGGGTTTAGGGTTTAGGGTTTAGGGTTTAGGGTTTAGGGTTTAGGGTTTAGGGTTTAGGGTTTAGGGTTTAGGGTTTAGGGTTTAGGGTTTAGGGTTTAGGGGT